GTGGCCGCTACGGATGCAGTTCCGTGGATTGCGGCTCTGTGGGGACGCGATTCGTGGTGCTTAGTACTATTTGGCGACTGCGAGTTTTTCTCTCGGATTTATTACTGTGATTGTTTATTATTATTGTTATCGCTCTTGTTGTTATCGTCAGTAGTTGTTTTGCCATCCTGGAGCACACTGGTTGGTTCCACTGAGGACGGAGGCTGCGGACAGGTAGCCCTCACCGTTGACCAGACACACCGCTACACTCCGATCCTACCAGTGGCCCGCACCTGCGCCACATGTCATTATGAAGTAGTGAGCAAGTTGTGTGAATTTTGAAAGAAGAGGTATTTATTAACTTGTTAAATATAACACAAATATTGCCGTATAAATACATAAAGCCGTATAAAACCAATGTACACCTTATGAATGATTCTGAGACATACATCCTTATAACCACTCCTGAAATTTAACACCATGTGAAATGGGCTGGGTTAAAACATAAATCACCTCAATAGCTGGGAGGACTCAGCTTGGGAAGGGCCTCCCCAAATTGCCTGCCTTCCTTGTAATTGACACAGGAACTCCTCCGCTTCCTGCCCGTAATCATGTGCTCTGTAAGAGTAGATTTAAAAAGTCTGAAATTGTAAAATTCTTTTTTTGTTTTTTGTTTTCATATTCTTTTTTATTATAGGTTACTATAAGATATTGAATATTGAAATTAAAACGTCCTTAATTAAAAAGACAAATAAATAAATATACATAAGCATATACGTAACTTAATAAATAAATCAACCAAGAGATTGAACAGCATGAATAAGGAGCACCTAGTGGTAGGGGGTAGGAGGTATGTGAGGACTTAAAAATAGCCAATGACTAGGTGGTCTGCAAGGACAGGTCCTGGGCACCTGGCTATCCTCACCCTGTCACTAGCACCCAGCACAACACCAGGCATATAATAGGTACTCTGTGTGTATTTAGAGTTCAAGGAAAGGAAAAAAATACACAGTTGCCCCTTGAACAAGGTTGTAGGGCAGGGGTGGAGTTAGGGGCACGAACCACCCATCCACCTCCTGCTCAATAGAAAATGCTCTATACCGTTATCTCTGCCTAAAAAACAAAGGTGTGGATAAATGACTCACCCAAGGGCAGGAAGCTGAAAAGTCTGGATAAAATCAGGACTCAAACCCTAGTTCTTTTGATTCCACATATTGTGATCTCTAATCGAACACAAACTTTCCCCCCGCCTGTAAGATGAAAATACAAGTACCATATTTATTGAAAAATATCTGTGTATAAGTGAGTCTGCAAAGTTCAAATGCTTATTGTTCAAGGGTCAACTGTATAAGCTCCCCAAACATGCTTTGCCTACTGAACAATTTCATCCAGGGTCAATTCTTCCAATAGCTAAAATGATGTGCTCTCTGAGATGCCTCCATGACTTGGAAAGAGGTCATTATACTTCAAACTTCATACTGCTTTCCAGTTTTATTTTAAGCTGTTTTGCATGCATTAGGGTATCTTATTTGAGACTTAGAGCAGTCCTGTAAGAAAAGTAGGGCAGGACAGAAGGACTTTGCAAAGGTCACAGTGTAATGCATACCTGTGAGGAGAAGTACATAGTGAGCTATACAACAATTTCAGTACTGCTGACCATGCCAAATCTTGCTGCATTCCTAGTTTGTCTTGACAGTTTTACTGCCTAAATTTTTACATTAGGACTTTTTGGGCTTCTTTGCCATTCACTTATATGCAGTATGACTTGAATTTATAAAGGACACCGTATTTGAAATTTGAAATTTGATTCAGTACGATGGAATCAGCATCTCTGTCCTAAGTACCTTGGTGAATTTGGGTAGAAAGCTGCCAATTTGCCATCCGTTATTGAGAACTCCAGCTCTGTGGTTGGTGATGGGAATACAAAGAATAGAAAATGAGTAAGACATAATCTTTGCTCTCAAGGGTTTATGGGTGAATTAGGGAGAAGGACTTGGGAATAAATGAGTGTTTAATTTATTTGGCTGGTCGGAGAAAAGTCCTAAGCACGATTAATTCTATTAGGGGTAGGGAGAGAGTGTGGGTAAGTCTTTTCAGAGAAGAAAACATCTGATTTTTTTTATATGGAAAAAGATCAAATACTGCAAAAGTAGAGAATAATATGATGAACTACTTACTATGCCTCATTACTCGGCTTCAACAGTTAGCATCCGATGGCCAATTTGTTCCTTCTGTACCCACATCTCTCTCTCTCCCTGGATTATTCTGAAGCAAGTTACAGAAGCATATTATTTCACTCATAGATATTTTACTATGTGTCTCTAAAAACTAAGGTCTATTTAAAAAAAAACAACAAAAATACTTATTTTTAAAAATCAACAATTTCTTAACATCTAGTCAGCATTCAGAATGTCCCAACTTTCTCATAAATGTTTTCTATAGTTTATTCCTTCAAGTCAGGATTCAGACAAGGTCCTCACGGTCCTCTATTCGGTAGAAACCCTTAAATGTTTTTTTCCCTTGCACTTTATATATTGTAGAAATTCATTGTTAGGTCCTGTGGATTTTCCCACATTCTGCACTTGGCCAATTATACCCCTGCAATGTTGTTTAACATGTCCCTCTACCCCTATATTTCTCATAAATAGAACTAGAGACTTGATCACATTTAGGAAAATACAACCTATAAAAAAGAAAAAATCATTCAATCAAAAACAAGCCCAGACCTGTCACAGATGTTAGAATTAGCAGATAAAGACATTAAAGGAGTTACTCTAATTGTATTCCAAGTGTTCAAAAAGGTAAGTAGACCCATGAGAGATATAAAAAGACCCAAATTTTACTCCTACAGATGAAGACAACAATGTTTGAATAAAAATACCCTGGATAGACTAATGGTAAATTAGACATTTCCAAAGAAAATATTGGTGAACTTGAAGTCACACCAACAGAAATTTCCATAATGAAGGAAACACAGGGGAAAAAAAGATTTTGAAAACATAAAGAGCATCAGTGAATTGTGTGACAATTTCAAGTGGCCTAATATATGCGCAAATGAAATCTCCAAAGGAAAGAAATGGACAAAAAAAATTTGGGTAAATAATGGCCAAAAATTCCCCAAACTGATAAAAACTATATATTCACAGATCTAAGAATTTCAACACACCCTAAACACAAGAAACATAAAGAAAGCCACCTGAAGGCACATCATAGTCAAATTGCTCAAAGTCAGTAATAAAGAATCTTGAAAGTAGCCAGAGAAAAGAAATATATTATGTAAAGAGGAACAAAGAAAAGATGACAGTAGATCTCTTGTTAGAAACAATACAAGCAAGAAGAGAGTGGAACAACATCTATAAAGTACTGAAAGAAATCTATCAAACTAGAATTCTATTCTTGTCTAAAGATTTCTCAAAAATGAAAGCAAAATAAAGACTTTTTCAGATGCACAATAGTAAAAGAATTCATCATAGCAGACCTGTGCTACAACAAGTGCTAAGAAGTCCTACATGCATAAGGAAAATGGCACCAAATGGAATTACAGATCTACAGAAAGGAAGGAAGAGTGAAAAAATAGTAACTGCATGTATACGTACATAAAAATCTTATAGTTGTTTATTAAAATCTCTTTAAAAGGTGATTGATTATTTAAATAAAAAGATACAATGTATTGTGGATATGATCACCAGATAAAATAGAGGATGCCCATTTAAATTTGAATTTCAAATAATTGTTACCTTTTTAGTATAAGTATTTCTAAATATTGCATGTAACATGCTTATTTAATGAAGGTATTTGTTATTTATCTGAAATTTAGATTTTACTTTCTGTCCTTTATTTTTATTTGCTACATCTGGCAACCCAATTTTGAGGTTTATAATATATGACAAAAACAGCAAAAAGGCTAAGAGAGGAAATAAAAGGATGCTGCTATAAGTTTATTATACTGTACTGATACATGAAGTGGTATAATTTCACTTGAACATAAATTTTGATAAGTTAAAGATCCATGCTATAAACCCTAAAGCAGCTATTAAAATAACAAGACAGTAATAAGCTGGTAAGGCAACAAAGGAATTAAATTGTAAACATAAAAATTTTAATTAACCCAAAAGAAGATAGAAAAAGAGGAAGAAACAACAAAGGATCATTTGGAAAAGTAAAAAATGATTAATGAGATGATAGACTTAAACCAAATCATATTAATAATCACATTAAAAGTAAATGGATTGAACATCCCCAATTAAAAGGCAGAGACTAGATTATAAAGAAGATACAATATGCTGCTTACAAGTAATACATTTTAAATACATAGATACAAATAGTTTAAAAGTAAAAGGATGGAAAAAGAGTTACTAAACAAACAAAAGAAAATTAGTCAAAAGAAAAGATTGCCGAGCAAATATTATCAGAAGAAGTTCGTTTCATAATGATAAAGGGGTCAATTCAAGATGACATAACAATTCTGAATGTTT